GAGTGTCCGATCAGAACTAAGTGGTTGTATAGTGTACGTTGACCGGGTCCCGATCAGAACTAAATGCTAGTACAGGGTACGTTGACCGAGGTTCTAATCAGAACTAAGTGGTAGTATAGTGTACGTTGACCGAGTCCCGATCAGAACTAAATGCTAGTACAGGGTACGTTGACCGAGTGTCCGATCAGAACTAAGTGGTTGTATAGTGTACGTTGACCGGGTCCCGATCAGAACTAAATGCTAGTACAGGGTACGTTGACCGAGTGTCCGATCAGAACTAAGTGGTAGTATAGTGTACGTTGACCGGGTCCCGATCAGAACTAAGTGGTAGTATAGTGTACGTTGACCGGGTCCCGATCAGAACTAAATGCTAGTACAGGGTACGTTGACCGAGTCTCCGATCAGAACTAAGTGGTTGTATAGTGTACGTTGACCGGGTCCCGATCAGAACTAAATGCTAGTACAGGGTACGTTGACCGAGTCTCCGATCAGAACTAAGTGGTAGTATAGTGTACGTTGACCGGGTCCCGATCAGAACTAAATTTTAGTTCTGATCGGGACCCGGTCAACGTACTTAATGCTAGTACAGGGTACGTTGACCGAGGTTCTCATCATAACTAAGTGCTAGTACTTCGTACACTGACTGTATCCTAGATAACAACTTAGTGTTAGTACTGGGTTCACTACCAAGGTCCACAGTATGTGTGTTTGATTTCCAAACTGATCATGATGGTGCAGTTTTAATCTGTTTTTGGGAGGACAATAGTGAGCTTTTATCAATCTCCTGCCAACTGAATCCCTTACTATTATGGATAGGATCGGTATAAACACTTTAATGCACCTTTCACACTTACAGTTACACATGCCACTCTGTTCCTAGCTTGTGTTACTGCGTATTGTCCCTATCACCACTATACGGTGTTGTGTAGTCTTCCTATTCCCAACATGTTACTGTACATTCCCCATATACTCAAGATGTTACTGTGTGTTTTCTATATCACCAATATATGTTACTATGTATTCCCCCTATCTTCAAGATGTTACTGTGTATTCTCCACACCCCATCGTTTGTTACCGTGCATTCTCCACACACAGTCAATGTTACTTGTTCATTATCCCACATTCCAACGTATGTTACTGTTGTATTCTCCACACCCCCATCGTTTGTTACCGTGCATTCTCCACACACAGTCATCGTATGTTACAATGTTATTGTTCGTATTATCCACACACCCCCCAACGTATGTTACTGTATTCTCCACACCCCCATCGTAAGTTACTGTGTATTCTCCACACACCCAAATTTATGTTACTGTATTCTAAACACCCCACCTATTCTCCACATGTTACTGTTACTTCTTCTCACACCCCCAACGTATGTTACTGTGTATTCTCCACACCCCCAACGTATGTTACTGTGTATTCTCCACACCCCCAACGTATGTTACTGTGTATTCTCCACACCCCCAACGTATGTTACTTACTGTATTCTCCACACCCCCAACGTATGTTACTGTGTATTCTCCACACCCCCAACGTATGTTACTGTATTCTCCACACCCACCCCCCAACGTATGTTACTGTATTCTCCACACCCCCAACGTATGTTACTGTATTTACCACACACCCATCGTATGTTACTGTATACACCACCACCCCAACGTATTTTACTGTATTCTCCACACCCACAACATATGTTACTGTATTTTCCACACCCCCAACGTATGTTACTGTATTCTCCTCACCCCCAACGTATGTTACTGTGTATTCTCCACACCGCTAACATATGTTACTATATTCTTCACACCCCCATCGTAAGTTACTGTGTATTCTCCACACCGCTAACATATGTTACTATATTCTTCACACCCCCATCGTAAGTTACTGTGTATTCTCCGCACCGCTAACATATGTTACTGTATTCTCCACACCCCCATCGTAAGGTACTGTGTATTCTCCACACCCCCATCGTAAGGTACTGTGTACTCTCCACACCCCCAACATATGTTACTGTATTCTCCACAGCCCCATCGCACTGTGTATTTACTGTGTATTTACTCCACACCGCCAACATATGTTACTATATTCTCTATCACACACCCTATCGTAAGTTACTGTGTATTCTCCACACCCCCAACTTATGTTTCTGTATTCTCCACACCCCCAACTTATGTTTCTGTATTCTCCACAGCCCCATCGTATGTTACTGTGTATTCTCCACACACCCAACATATGTTACTGTATTGTCCACCCCCACCCCCACCCCCAAAGTGCGTACCTTACTGTGTCTTCTCCACACCCCCAACGTATGTTACTGTATTCACCACACACCCAATATATGTTACTGTGTATTCTCCACACAACCAAAGTATTTTACTGTATACACCAGACCCCCAATATATGTTACTTTATTCACCACACCCCCATCGTAAGTTACTGTGTATTCTCCACACCCACATCGTATGTTACTGTGTATTCTCCACACAACCAAAGTATTTTACTGTATACACCAGACCCCCAATATATGTTGCTGTATTCTCCACACCCACATCGTATGTTACTGTGTATTCTCCATACACCCAAAGTATGTTACTGTATACACCACACCCCCAACATATGTTACTGTATTCACCACACCCCAATCGTAAGTTACTGTGTATTCTCCACACCCCTCAACGTATGTTACTGTGTATTCTCCTCACCTCCAACGTTTGTTACCGTGCATTCTCCACACACAGTCATCGTATGTTATTGTTCATTATCCACACACCCAACGTATGTTACTGTATTCTCCACACCCCAATCGTAAGTTACTGTGTATTCTCCACACCCCCAACGTATGTTACTGTGTATTCTCCTCACCTCCAACGTTACTGTGCATTCTCCACACACAGTCATGTATGTTGTTGTTCATTATCCACACCCTCAACATATTGCTACTGGTCAATCGTAAGTTACTGTGTATTCTCCACACCCCCAACGTATGTTACTGTGTATTCTACACACCCAACGTTTGTTACCGTGCATTCTCCACACACAGTCATCGTATGTTATTGTTCATTATCCACACACCCAACGTATGTTACTGTATTCTCCACATCCCCATCGTAAGTTACTGTGTATTCTCCACACACCCAAATTATGTTACTGTATCTCTAAAACAAATTCTAAGCAGTATGTTACTGTGGCTTCACACTCCCCTAACGTATGTTACTGTGTATTCTCCACACCCCCTAACGTATGTTACTGTGTATTCTCCACACTTTGTGTATGTTACTGTGTATTCTCCACACCCCAAAGGTATATGTTACTGTATTCTCCACACCCCCAACGTATAATGTATTCTCCACACCCCAACGTATGTTACTGTATCCAACCCCTTTATCGTGTTATTACTGTGTATTCTCCACACCCCCAGCGTACGTTACTGTGTATTCTCCACACCTAAAGTATGTTATGTTCACCACACCCCAAATGTTACTCCACACCCCTATCATGTTACTGTATTCCTACCACACACTCCATCGTATTCCAATACTGTATACAATTCACCACCCCAATGTATTTTACTGTATTCTATGTTACTGTATTTCCCACACCCCCAACGTATGTTACTTATTCCTCCTCACCAACGTATGTTTCTGTGTATCCTCCACTAAATATATGTGTGTATTCTTTCCACCCCTTATCGTATTTACTGTGTATTCTCCACCTCTAACATATGTTACTTATTCCTCATAAACCCCAACGTATGTTACTGTGTATTCTCCACACCCAATATATGTTACTATATTCCATTCACACTCCCCATCGTGTTGCACTGTGTATTTCTCTCCACACCCAACATATGTTACTGTATTCTTTCTCACATTTACTGTAGTATTCTCCGCATGTAACCATATTTCATTACATTCTCCACACACCCATCAAGTTACTGTGTATTCTCCTTCAAGGTACTGTGCACTCTCCACAACCCCCTGTATGTGTGTATTCTCCACTCACCCCAACTTATAAGCTCTGTGTGTCCACATCCCATCGTATGTGTTCTCCACACCCCCAACTTCTATATAGTTATACTATTGTCTACCTCACTGGGTCTCCACACCCCAGCGTATGTTACTGTATTCACTCCTTGTATGTTAACATGTGTATTCTCCACACACATGTATTTTACTGTATACACCACTAGACCCTTCAATATATAAGTTACTTATTCACCACACCCCCCATCGTGTTACTGTGTATTCCACACCCCTACTTATGTTCACTGTGTTTCTCCACACTCCCCTGTCGTATGTTACTGTGTATTCTCCAACACCCCCAACATATGTTACTGTATTGTCCACCCCCACCCCAATTCCCCCCAAAGTGTTCTGTGTCTTCTCCACCTCTAACGTATGTTACTGTATTCACTTACCTAATAATATATGTTACTGTGTATTCTCCAATGATGTATTTTACTGTGTGTTGTGTGTTCAGTATGTGACTCCACTGTTGTTACTGTGTGTATTCTCCACACTCCACATCGTATGTTACTGTGTATTCTCCACAATAACCAAAGTATTTTTACTGTATACAATTCACACCCCCAATATATGTATGTATTATTCACACCCATGTGTTACTGTGTATTCTCCATACACCCAAAGTATGTCTCATATGTGTGTTCTCCACTGTAAGTTACTGTGTATCTCCACACCGTATGTGTGTATTCTCCTCACCTCCAACGTCTGTTACTGTGTATTCTCCAAACCCCCAACATGTTACTGTATTCTCCACACACCCAACATATGTTACTGTATTCACCACACCCCAATCGTAAGTTACTGTGTATTCTCCACACCCCCAACGTATGTTACCGTGTATTCTCCTCACCTCCAACGTATGTTACTGTGTATTCTCCAAACCCCCAGCATATGTTACTGTATTCACCACACCCCATCCAAGGAACTGTGCTGTGTGTGTCCCCCAACGTAGTGTTACTGTATTCTCCTCACGTCATGCACATCCATCACTCTATATTTCATTTTGTATGGATATTTTCGTCCATTGCCGGAGTATGTTCAAGTAAGTATTTTCTTCTGTATACATTGCGCAACTTAGACCTACTTTACTGATGGAGGTTACGTGATGTGTATCGTTTACAATGTTCTTCTGAACCCAGTACTTGTTTTAAGACATCTCTCCATCACATGTACTCATACCTTTGTAGATATCCCCTGTTCTGGTTTCTGTAGAGGCAAACTAGTTTTTAGTAAACGCTGGTCGTAGGGAAGGTTCATCATTAAGTACAATGGTGGTGGACCAGCTGACAGTGTACCGCCCGGCACAGCTAGGAAGGGCACTATGACCCGTTTCCTCTACTGAGAAATACGAGAGTCACAACGGCCACTTCACCACCTTACATTTTGGAACGAATATTAGTTCCTGAAATTACAATTTCAAATCGCAGTTTCTGACAGGCTTAATTGCACTTTGTAATCTAAGCAGATTTGTGTTCATTACTACATTGGTTATCCGACCTAATCCTTGTCCAAGTAACTTTACACAATTGCTTCAAATGTATTATCAATGATAAAGCCTTCATTCAAGGATTAAGGTGTGCATGACACTATCTCAACGATGATTTTGTTTCAAAACTGTGAAGTCTGTACTTTGAATATATATGGTTATTTATCCAAGTGGTCTAAAGTACAAATTAGGGATGAAGATGAGTTTCAACAGCGCAAATTGTCCATACTTGTAGATAGCAACGGCACTTGGTGCTACTATTTCCTTTTGGCCAATTTCGATTTAAAATTGGTGTTTAATTTCACGGTGTTGATTCTTCAAGGATATCGGGAAAGTATATGTCAAAGATGTTCACTTTGTTATCTTAGGTACTAATGTACTACCACATATATCTAACGCCTGTCTCTACCATAATTTCTCATCCATACACAAACATCATACCCCTGTGTCTACCGTGATACTCTGATCCATGCACAAACATACCACTCTGTGTCTACCGTGATACTCTGATCCATACACAAACATACCACTCTGTGTCTACCGTGATACTCTGATCCATGCACAAACATACCACTCTGTGTCTACCGGGATACTCTGATCCATACACAAACATACCACTCTGTGTCTACCGTGATACTCTGATCCATGCACAAACATACCACTCTGTGTCTACCGTGATACTCTGATCCATACACAAACATACCACTCTGTGTCTATCATGATATTCTGATCAATACACAAACATACCACTTTGTGTTTACCATGATATACTGATCCATACACAAACATACCACTCTGTGTTTACCATGATATACTGATTCATACACAAACAGACCACTCTGTGTCTACCGTGATATTTTGATCCATACACAAACATACCACTTTGTGTCTATCATGATATTCTGATCCATACACAGACAGACCACTCTGTGTCTACCATGATATACTGATCCATGCACAAACATACCACTCTGTGTCTATCATGATATTCTGATCAATACACAAACATACCACTTTGTGTCTACCATGATATACTGATCCATACACAAACATACCACTCTGTGTCTACCGTGATATTCTGATCCATACACAAACATACCACTTTGTGTCTATCGTGATATTCTGATCCATACACAGACAGACCACTCTGTGTTTACCATGATAAACTGATCCATACACAAACAGACCACTCTGTGTCTACCGTGATATTCTGATCCATACACAAACATACCACTTTGTGTCTATCGTGATATTCTGATCCATACACAGACAGACCACTCTGTGTCTATCATGATATACTGATCCATACACAAACAGACCACTCTGTGTCTATCGTGATACTCTGATCCATACACAAACATACCACTCTGTGTCTATCGTGATATACTGATCCATACACAGACAGACCACTCTCTGACTGTCGTGATATTCTGATCCATACACAAACATACCACTCTGTGTCTATCGTGTTATTCTGACCCATACACAAACATACCACTCTGTGTCTATCATGATATACTGGTCCATACACAAACGTACCACTCTGTGTCTATCATGATATACTGATCCATACACAAACCTACCACTCAGACCACTATGTGTCTTTCATGATATACTGATCCATACACAAACATACCACTCTGTGTCTATCGTGATATTCTGACCCATACACAAACATACCAGTCTGGGTCTACCATGATATACTGATCCATACACAAACATACCACTCTGTGTCTATCGTGATATTCTGATCCATACACAAACATACCACTCTGTGTCTACCATGATATGCTGATCCATACACAAACATACCACTCTGTGTGTACCGTGATATTCTGATTCATACACAAACAGACCACTCTGTGTCTATCATGATATTCTGATCCATACACAAACAGACCACTCTGTGTCTATCATGATATTCTGATCCATACACAAACAGACCTCTCCTGAATCTATCATGATATTCAGATGACTATAACTGAGGGATACAAATGGTAAGCCATGCATAAGTACTTTCAAAGTTTTGACCTGTCTCTGAAATCTCAAGACAATCACGTGCATTCCCTTGTTTTGTATTGTATTTCCAAGTTCCATAACACAGTACACATTTTGCATATTGATTCATCTTATAATGGGTAGGTTTCTCACAGACCAGGGCTGCTTCCCGTTGATAAAGGGCAGTTACTCTGGCTGTCAGGCGGACAGAATTTTGCGAAAAGCTTTCAAGGTATATTCAATGTTTGAGACACGAATACAAGATACTTACCATCCCAAACCTCACGCAACCTATATTTATCCAACATATATACAGTAAAATCCTTGTATAGAAGATTAACGATAGTGCTTAATACAATCAAGGAAGCAAGTGGCATGTAGATTCCCCCACACTACACAAATATGCTCGAATTTGTGCAAACGCTGAAAATAATCAACTTCAAGTCTGTCAAAACATTTGATTTTTCAACTTTGTACACCAGTATCCCATATAACAAACTTTATTATCCGAATCCTATGTAATTTGTCAGTAAACGAGGTGATGAAAGATACACTGCCGAGGTTCAGGATAATGTTCAGGAAATAAATATAACTTGGAAGTTTACTGAGAAAGTAATACGTCGAGTGTTGGACTTCCTGATGGCTGAACCTATGCTTGTCCCAATGGGCATCAACATTGCTACCCTCCTGGAAGATGTGTTTCTTTATGCATCCGAACCGGAATATCTACTCTGTTGAGTGTCACCTTTGTGGCAGGATATGCTCGGCTATTGGTGAAAATCTGGTATCATCACTTGCACATGATAGTCAGAATCGAGGTTTGTGCCAATACCACCAATTCATGATCAAGTATTTATAGAAACGGGAAGCTTCCCGCGAGAACACTTGGATGGAAGGAAGTTTACATGCACTTAGCATCGGGGATATACGTACTAGAGAGTCAGGCCAGTCATACACGAGGAGCCCAGGAAGTGTGGAGGAATCAGCTGGCCAGGTAGTCGTTCCACAGGCCATGTCAAAGGGATCTCCTCGGACAGTGCCATAGTCCACAAGACGATCTTTGCGCTTTGATTATCAGAAGTCCCGTGCTTCGCCATAGGCTTTGGACAATTGTAGCACTAAGATCGCTCAGTGGAACGGGGCCCTGGTGTACTCATACAGAAGGATCTCCTTACCGTGTTTGTCTATACTTACAGCTCTTGGTCAGCTTAGTACACCTGCGATTCGTCACATCTTACAGGGTCCATGCAACAAATGGCATTCAGAAAACTGTTTTAATGACACTGTCGATATTCAATGAGAAAATATACAGAAAAGCGAAAAGCTACGACCATTTGCATGTTCACTGTCGCAATGGCGCACATCTCAATAATTTGCAAAAAACAATCTCAAAAGTCGCATTGAAAGTCTCCCAGTACCGGTAATGTCTAATGATACAAAACCAGGAAAAGGTCCAGTGCATGATAACCCATTATGGCCTTAATCTCGGGATCGAGAACGCTTCAGGCTGACCTCATTACGGAATCAGCCCTTGGGTCGTGCGTGTTTCAGGCTGACCTCGTTGATGAATCAGCCTTGGGTCGAGCGTGTTTCAGGCTGATCTCATTGCTGAATTAACCCTTGGGTCGGGGATGTTTCAGTCTGATCTCAGTTTGGTATCAGCACTTGGGTCGAAGGTACTTAGGCTGATCTCAAGTGCAGTGTTCCAGGGATAGATGATATTCGGAAGAAACTCAATACGAAGCTGACTACTGTACAGCTGCCTTCAGTGATCAGTCCACAAGAGAGATGTCTAGGTTAGTTTTAGAACAGCACTAAAGTCATTTCACGAGAGGAATTACAAAGGCTTTTTCCATGTTAGAACTGAATAGATAAATAATCTTGTCTTGTGATGTTTAATTGCAAATTTGACGTCTTTACCGACAAAGTCGTCTTTTCTTGTTTGTTCACGCGAAGCGATACATGACGTGTTCTTACCCCCTGAAAAATATTGATGCAGTGATTCTCTGTCCACGACACACATGACATCCGCACAATCCCGTGAGTGAGTTGAGTTTTATGTTACAGGAATGTCAAGTGTAGCGCCATGCAACCACCTATGTTTACTGAAATTACCATATCAGTCTTATGTCCTTTTTCTTCAACCGAAGCATATACATATTGACAGTACAATATCCACTTGGTGGTTGTCAACTAATACATGTCATCCAGTCAAGTCAACAACCGGACTGTCTACACTAAACAAAACCCCATCAAACATGTAACATATTGTACCATTATTTCAATACTCCTCTGGTTACCATAACTGTAATCGTTCACAATGAAAACACGGAGTAATACTTTTCTTAAAGTATTGTCATCTTTCTAGTATGGAGCCACAACCACATCTTGCTTACTAAGACAGAATTAATATTCTTTTCATCAGATTTTAATTATTTAAGAAACCTGATTAATATATTTGCTTCCACTTTCAAGTTCCTCGCCTGCATGTCTTGCCGAATGAAAGGAGTAATGATATATGAAAGCCTTGTTATCGTTCTCCATCAATCCCAGCACAC